GTATTTACAGTCTTAAGCCGAACTGAGATCACCTAAGGGAATGGGTGTAGCTAGAAGAGAGAGAAGGCTCAAAGACTGGTCCCTTGGGCATCCCGTTTTTAGAAATCAGAAAGACAAGGAGGACCTGCCAAAGAAGACTGGGAAGGAGTGGCCAGTGAGGTAGGAGAAGAGAGAGCGTAGAAGCAGAGTGAAGAAAAGCTTTTAGTTAAGGGGGAGGTGATCAGGGCTGTCGAGTACCGCTAAAAGGTCAAATGAAAAGTGGACTTAGGATCAACGACCCTTGGCTTTGGTAGCATGGAAGTCACTGATAACCTGGGCCAGAGCAATTTCCATGTATGATAACTGGATTCTCCAGTTCTCACTTCTTCAGCTGCCAGCCCCTGGGTCTCAGCCGTGTCACCTCCAGTGCCACTTCCGACCTGAGAGGAACACACTGGCTTTGCAGGCTTGCGTTTTGTCATCATGTATGGCCATGGGGTCTTGCCAAATGTTTCCTGCTGATGGAATTTATGAGAAGACCACCTCTCTTCTTAATGTTCAAATTTCCTAAATAGGTCAAATAGTGGACACTATCTGTATCGTAATGTTTGACCCAAAGCATGTTTCTAAAAATTCCATTTACGGTAGAGCTTGTTTATATAGAGCTTTAATGAGAAGTTTAAGCAAGAGACTTATAAAGATAGGCAAGATCCATTGATGAGCAAGTAGGAAACATTAGTCTGTGAACCTAATTAAACTTGCCCTAGACGAGTAGGGTTTGTTTGGTTGGTTTTTTAACCTTTTTGAGGGATTTAAAAAAAAGCAAAATAAATATGAAAAGAGGGGAGTAAAAATTGCTATGTTAAAACCAGGCACTTCAAAACCCACTTAATGTTTGTTCAGAGATAAAACATTTGTTTTATCTTTCTTTTTAAAATAGTTTGGGCAAAACCTTGCTCTCCCCTGTTTGTTTCCTCAGCCCTGCTATCACCTATGAAATCATTTCCCAGAATTAAGATTCCCCTAGCTTAAATAGACAGGTGATTTCTGGTTTCCTGGTTGGACCCTGACACATCATATTTGTTTCCCTCTTTTGCCTGGATGTCAATTTCTAAGGCCCGAATATGTGAACTAACAACTCTATCTCCCTGCTTCCTGGTTACAACAGAATTCTGCAGACTTTCAGATCTCACTTGTGTAGTGGTTAAAACCATGGGCTCTGGGGCTCCCTGGCTGGCTCAGGTGGTAAAGCATGTGATTCTTGATCTTGGGGTTGTAAGTTCAAGCCCCACGTTGGGTGTAGAGATTACTTAAAAATAAAATCCAAAAAATAAAAAAGTAAATAAAAAAATAAAACCATGGGCCCTGGCATGAGCTGGGTGGGCCTGGTGTTGACATGCAGCTCCTCAGTCACTTGCTAGCTATGGATCTAAGTTCCTTAGGCTTCCTTTTCTTGTCTATGACATGGAGATGATAATATTTCTATTTCCTATGCTTATGATTATTGAATAGAATAATGTGTCCAAAGGACTCAGGACAGCATTTACATACTGCCAGTGTTCTATAAAGGAAGCAATTATTAATTATAAAGTCTTCCTTTTTCATAACGTAAGCCTTTGCCCTTGGTGTTACTCATGCTGGGAGCCAGTTGTGAAGTGAGAACAAGCTGGGGTTTCAACCTCAGAGGGTGATAAACCAAGTCGATCATTTGTGGGGTCAGGATGTGCTGGGCAGAAAGGGGAGGTGATGTGGCTTGCACCTTGCTTTGAGCCCTGTTCTCCATCATCGAACCTATGGTCGTTCTGGAGTAAGATGCAGCAAGGTAAGAGTGGGGTTGTTTGTTACAAATATTCGCTGCTGCATCGATTCTCTTGCTCTTAGGTCAGAATCGGAGGGTTAGATAGGTGAATAGAGTTCGCGTTGGAGACTAGGCTTAATGACTCCTGTTCTCTCCTATCCTTTGCACTCTCCTGTCTTCTGGTCCCGACCCATTCTCTTCCTTTTCTGAACGGTCCAAATAATTCCCAGCACCTTCATATAAAACTTCTGATGATGATTTCAAAAAGATTGTGTTTGTGGTAGCATACATCTGATCTGCAGGCCCCCAAGCAGAATTTCACAAAGACCTCCTCCAGTCTCCTTTCCCAGAGAACACCGTGCCACTCTTGCTTCCCAGGAACACTTTAAGCGCTGTGGGGTTGCTGGGGCTGCGCCTTTCTTTGGCTTAAGACCGATTTCATTAACAAGCATGTTCACACTTCAGCCGGAACATTTAAAATAACACCCGCACAATGTGTTTAGTGTCTAGTTAAATATTAAGTCTCTGAGCTTGAATTATTCAAGCCAAATTGATTGGGTTCAACCTTCTTCCTTCTCTGTGTGCCTTTTTTTATTAAATAAGAATAAGTCCTCCCCTTTACTCTCTAAATAATGTGGAAAAGGTTATTAAGCAACCATCAATACCCTGGACTGTGGGTGGTACCCAAGTGCTAACAGAATAGGTGGAGAAGACTGGCAGCTTGACTGTTCTGTTAAAAAACATGTATCTGTATCTCACATACTTCCATCGTTAATTAGCATGCATGGAGTCCTAACATGTTTTAGCTTCTCTCTTTTGAACTCTTCTTTATAGTTATTTTCAAGTTGGATAAGTAGGTATCTTGGAGTCAGTTCTGTGGTGGAAAAGTAGAAGAAATGGCTTCTTTCCTGGCTACCCCACCACAAGGTCAAATGGGACTGTTAAAATGTCTTGGCTTTACTATTAGAAACCATGTTGTTGAAGAACATTTGTTGACCTGCAAAGATGTTTATAGTATATTGCTAGGTGAAAAGAGGAGACTATAAAACTTTCATTTTGTATCATTTTTTGTTAAAATGCGTGGAAAGAAGGTTTGAATAATAAACACCAAAATATTGATTATTATCTGTGTTAGGATTAAACATTTCGTTTCTCTTTTATTACTTTTATAATTAGACAAAACACACATATAAAGATGTCATGGTTAGAAATGATTCATCTTTTGTCTAAGAGTCTCTCATGTGTCACCAGCACATGGGATATAATACTGTCCTTATTTAAGCCTGGCCAGTGTAGACTTCGAAAGCGTAGATTTCACGCAAAATTCATAGTGTTTTGTGAATCACAGCAACTTGAATAATTTGTTAGCTTTCATTTCTTACACTTCATTTCTAGTTGCTCCTTAGCTTCTATATTATTAAGATGTAAAAAGATGCAATTGTGGGCATTAACAGAAAACACAACTGGCCCACGGGCATAGGCAGGGAATATAAAATAATAGTATTTTGGAGGAAAATTATAAAGGAGATGGCAATTTTGAGAGGAAATGATAGAAACGCAGCGACCCAATTCGGTGATACATTTCACTGTGGGGCCTTCATGAGAAATTTGTAAACAGAGCTCTCCTAAAACCAAGCCTCGAAAACACTTGGAAGGCCCTAAATGCCTAAATGCGTCAGGGGCCATAGCAGCTGAAAAACTTGCCGCTGCTGCCCAGCGTCTGCAGTGCCACTGGGGCACACGCGTGCGTGTGTGCGCGCGCGCCTGCGCGCACGCTGGGGCCGGGGGTTCGATGCCCGCGGAGTACCGTCCGGACTCCCCGCGTCTGCAGAACCCCTGTAGGTGGTAGCCCTGGCGGGGGAGAAACAGGCAGCAGCTGCAGTGGTTCCGGAGGAGGAAAGCCAGCGCTGCGCGTAGGAAAACTTTCGGGACGATAGATGGGCATTATGCCCTTGGCACGCACTCTCCCGACTGGGACGGTAGCGCCCACGAGTGTGTCACTGCATTTGTCCTGGGAATGACACACGAAGTGGTGTAATTAGACACCAGGGTAACTCCTAGTCGGTTGAGCTCGGGCACCGCATTTGGGGGGCGGGTGGTGCGCAGGTAAGGGGCGGTGAGAGAGACACCGTCCTCCGCAGGTCTGGGGGGAGCCGGACGCCGGCAGTTCCTGGCCCCCCAAAACCCCGAGCAAACGTGCGGGACAGGTGGTGCTCCGAGCGCGCCGGGCGAGGCCCGATTGCCGTCCGCACCAGAGGCCTCCGCGGGTCCTCTCGCATCACTGTGTTCCACGTCGCGGCGGCCGCGGCCCCGCCGGCTCCCACCCTCCCGCCAGGGTGCAGCCTCCCTCGCCCCGGCCCGCGTACCGCCGGGGCCTCGGCTCTGCTCCGCGCGGCCGCGAGACCGACCCCGGCTGGGCCCGCGGACTCGGACTCGGGCGGGGACGGGGCGGGGCGGGGCGGGGGGCGGCGCGCGCCCGCGGCCGAGCCGCCATATTGGATCCGGGCGCGGCCGCGCGCTTCGGGCCGGCGCGCGCGGCGGGGGCTAGGGGAGCCTCGCGGAGCCCAGGGCGCGAGCGCGCCAGGCCGGGAAGGCGGGGGAGGGGTGGGACGGAGAGGAAGGGAGTGGTTGCGAGCCGGGCTGCCGCAGCCTCTGCTCGCCTCAGCGGCGGCACCAACCCCTCCTCCTGCGCCTCGTCGGGGAAAGATGCCCTTAGCCCCCGGGCGTGAAGAAGGGGGAGAAAGAGCCGGCCGCGTCCTCTGAATCCAGACCCCCCCCCCCCGTCAACCCCCCGCCCGCCCCGCGCCAGGGCGTCGGGAACCTTGGGGCGGCCGAGCGGGGAGAGCGGGCTGTCCGCCCGGCGCGGCGCAGGCCCCCGGCCGGCGACCCCCGCCATGGGGCGGGCGCGGGCGGCCGAGTAGCCGCAGCCCCCGGAGCCGGGGCGGGCGCCGCCGCAGCCCGCGCTCCCGGCTCGGCCGCGCCGCGCGTCAGGCCCCGGCAGACGCTGCGAGGGAGATGAATTTCGTCCGGATTCCGCGGGAGAGACGACTCGCCGCGGGGCCGTGAGGAGGAGGACGCCGGGAGAAGAGAGGAAGAGCATTCTCCGGGCGGGACCCGGCGGGCGGCGAGCCGAGGGGCTGCCTCGGGGACCTCGCCCCCTCCCCGCCCGCCGCCGCCGTCGCCGCCGCCGCCGTCGCCGCCGCCGGGGCGCTCTCCCAGCGGCGGGCGGCAGCCTTTGCAGCAGCGACGTGCCTTTCCCTCCCCCATGTACCTTCTGGGGCTTTCCTCCCTTTTCCGTCTTCCTCCTTCCCGGGAAGTGAATTGCTGATGCGGATCGGACCCGATTCATTAAAGATGCAGCCGGATTCGTTGCGGGATTGTGTTGCACGAGTTGAATTTTGAATGAAGGAGAAGAGTTGTATTTTGTTTTCTTCTTTTTTAAAGAAGTCCTGACTCTTTGGTTCGCTGTACTTTTAATTATTATTTTATTTAAATATACGACTTAATTGTATTCTTCCTAAGATGTATAAAAGATCTATTTTATGGTAACTTTCCTTCCCAATTCATGCATCTGTGCGGGATCGAAGACGCTTCGGTAAAGGGAGCTTCCTGGCGTGTCGCGGTGTCATTCAGCACCGGCCGTGCATGACACTTGTGTGCAGGACGAGGGGTTTATTTTTAAAACCGCACCTTTTAAAATTTAGGATCAGATACTCGTAGTGCAAACCGTAATACTCATTGAAGGGAAAAGCGGTGGACCCCAAAGCAAACATGTCTGGGGAAGTGCGTTTGAGGCAGTTGGAGCAGTTCATTTTGGACGGGCCGGCTCAGACCAATGGGCAATGCTTCAGTGTGGAGACGCTGCTGGATATACTCATCTGCCTTTATGATGAATGCAATAATTCTCCACTGCGAAGAGAGAAGAACATTCTTGAATACTTGGAATGGGGTGAGTCTGTATTTTTCAGTAAGCTCCCTTTGGGTGGGCATTGGGATTTAATTGTTGCAAGGGAGGGAGGTATCATGAGTAAGCTGTTGACTTTGTCATTAGTATGTAGATAGGCAGATATATGGTCCGTGTAACATTTATAACATAGACTTAAATACATAATGGATATGGTAGTACATTTAAATGTATATACAGTGAAGGAATAGTTACCAGTTATTCAAGATTTTTTTTTAAGTTTTTGGTAGTATTTTCCCAAGAGTTAAACCGTGCTACTCAATTATTGCCTTGATTTAATGTGGAATTTAGGAGGAAGAACTTATGTTTTGAGGTCAACAGTAAGAGATTTTGAATAATTCTGTGATGAGCAAAATGGATTATTGCTCACAGTTGCCTAACGCGTGGCGGAATAACACACATTCAGTTGAAAGGTATTTATTGGTGGAAACATTCCTTCCCAGACTTTGGAAATCACTCTTGAAATGGGAGGAGATAGTGAAATGTCTTAGGTCAACAGGAACTGGAAGGTGGTGATCGCTGGGGTTTTATTTCATCTCCATATGGTACAATCAAAGGAAACTACTAAACATGGACTTTCCCAAAACTGTCATGTTTGTAAGATGGCATGACATAATAGTTAAAAAATTTTGTGATAGTAGTTGGTGAAGAATGTTTGGGAACAGCTCCCACTTGGGGTTAGACGGACTATACATTTAACGCAGATCTAAACCGGTTGGATTTTTGTCTCCATTTCCCTAAATAGAGATGTGATTTAGAAGACCCGCTGTAGTGCAGTAGATCAGAGATAAGCACAGACGCTCCATGTGACCTTCTAGCTTGAAGGCTTGGCTTAAGTTCTGCTTCCCATGTTACACACGAGCACATTACAACATCCAGTGGCTCTCAGTTGGGAGAACACACATCACCACCCACACCTGTGTTGGTACATTAGCTTTGGAGGGGTATTAGCTAAAGTGTTTTGTACCATTGGGATATTAATAGTTATAGTTTGTTGGAAAGTGTCCTAAAATGTCTTTGTTCTCAAGTAAAGCTTTATTGAAGTAAAAGTCAAGTGGTGATTATTTCGTTCATTTATTTTTTTGATTTGAAATTTATTAAAAATTAGCTTGTCAGGTAAATAACTCATTCAAGATGGCCTATATAATAACTTTATCCAACTTGCCAGTATTGGAAGTTTTCTAGCAACTTGATGTCATGAGGTGTTTAAAAACTGTGTGTATGTGTATTTGTGAACAGATGATTTTTACAGACTACCAGGCTCATACTAGGAATGTAAGAATTCTAAACCATCTTCTCTCTTAAGAGTTAGTTTTGATTGACTTTGGTACTGGTTTTGTATGTCTTTTATTTTTATGCATAGAGCAAAATATTTTATAAAACGTATGTCATTTTACATTCCATGTTTCCTAAATTCAGAGGTTTGTTTTTTTTTTTTTTATTATTTCTTTTGAAAATTTAAAGAAAAGGTTTAGGTACTTCTAGAATTTCAGTTCTTGAATTGGGTTCCATAGTGACACTCTTGTCTATGATCATGATTGTCATTTAGTAACTGTTCTTTCTCATCTACGAAATGATGGGAGAACTCTATGTACCAGTAATAAATATAATTTTTAAAATTATGATAAAAGAGAAAATTGTATCCTTGCCTTTTGATTATTAAGAGTTTACATAGTAGTTTTATGCAAGAAGATATTTTGCTGTTTTGCCAGAATAATTTATGTATATTTTTCACCAAAGATGTTTTCTTGGATTTTGTTTCTTATATCTCTATTAAAAAACCTTGCTTATGCATATTTAGTTTAAGCCAAATAAGCCAAAAGTCAAGTAAGTATTTGGCCAAATATACTTTATTTTTCTTAATATATTTTGAGTATTTCAAACCAGGGACTTTGCACAGTTTAAAGTCAGTTTTAGTGGTATCCTTCATATTTTGTCTTCTTAGAAGTCTGACATGACATAACAAAAATGTAGTCTCATATAAACTCGTATTGTTTTTCTCAGTAGTAGAGAAAAAGAGACTAGAATTTTTAAGGAATTTGTATGCTGTGTGGCTAGGCAGTGTCTAGTCATGCATTTTTAAGTGTGAGATCTCAAAAATGGGAGTTACCAACCACAGAAGTTTGGTAAGGACTAAGAAAAAGTTAAGAATGGAAAAGCTGTCAAAAGATGTATCTTGAGTAGTAATATTTTTTATTTTTAAGTTATTTGAGAATTTAGGTTAAGAATGCCAGTCTGTTCTCTCCATTTAAGTATTGAAATAGGTCAGCTGTTATTTGTGTCTGAATTGATTACTACATTTTGGGGACACGTCCTATGTTATTCTTATCATCTAACATTATGTGAAAAACAGATGAAGTTTCCAGATAGTGAAATCACCTCAATTTAATTTCTTAAACATTACTTTTTTGGTCAGTGTTGGAAATTTATAGGGATTGTTTGTTGGGCTTAAATATGATAATTATGATTTGCGTTAAATGATACGATTTTTAGTTTGAGATTTTTTTTAAATTATTTTTAAAGATTTTGTTTATTTGACAGAGAGACACAGCGAGAGAGGGAACACAAGCAGGGGGAGTGAGAGAGGGAGAAGCAGGCTTCCCGCTGAGCAGGGAGCCTGATGTGGGGCTCGATGTGGGGCTCGATGTGGGGCTCGATCCGAGGACCCTGGGATCATGACTTGAGCTGAAGGCAGACGCCCAACGACTGAGCCACCCAGGCGCCCCTAGTTTGAGTTTTAAAAGATCCGGTGTTCCCAACAGTAGAGCAGTAGTAGTTAAATACTCTGTATTACATGCTGTATATTTGTGTTTGGCTATTTACATTAATGAATGTGTCATCTAATTATGCCTTATTTTAATGCTGATGATAGGCTACTTTAAAAAAATGGAGTCAGCCAAGGTTCTGTGTGCCTTGCTTCATTTCCATCAGTTTCACTTTATTCCTAGTTATGGTCCATTTCACTTTTATATTGGTACAGTTAAAGTTTTGTTCATCATAGTATCATGACAAGAAAACTGATATTTCACTCAGATATGTTTTTGGGGGGGGGGAAGGGCAGCATTCCTTGCTTGTGTTGATGGCTTGAGGGAGGAAATAGAGTTTTAGAGAGGAAGAAGGAATTAAGACAGTGAGCAATAGAGCAAGGGGATAAGAGTGCCTTAAGGCCATAGACCCCTTAAATTTAACAATATATATTTTCTAGTTATATCCATTAAGATTTGAAAGACTTTTGTGTCCTTGTTTTTTGATTGGTGAAATGATAATGGTTTGTATGTTTGTTTATAAAATAATAGTTTTGATGTCAGTAGTACAACTCTAGCATAAGTTACAGTAGAGTTGTGGAAGTAAAAATAATGTTATTATAAACTAATTTGCTAGCAGTGACTAAATGAGTGCATTATTCATTGAATTGGCTACCCTCTACTTTGAAATGGGAAATTGGAATTTTAGGGAATTCTTTACCAACTTACTTAAAGAATAGATGTAAGATAATGTTACTCAATACAAAAGAAGCAAGCAGGGCTGTCTGTATGTGGATAACTTTTTTGATGGTTTCTGATTCTTGTACTTTGTAACATTTCATTTAAAATTATCCTTCATAGTAATTTTATAGGTTAGTGTATGCACACACATACATCTAAATGATTAATAATGAACTTGTTACCAGAGCACTTCAGTGGGTACTGTGGTTTAAACTTTTCCTTTCATTGGGGTAGTTTTAAAGCTTATTCACATTTTTTTTCAGGTGTGGGTCAATTAAGTGAGGTGATGATGGCTTGATTAGAAGGATCTGAATCTTTTCTAGGACACTTTGTTCTTCACTTCTGCTGTTGCTCCTTACTAGCTTTATGTTAGTAGAATATGTCATACCAAACTATCAAAATGTTTGTTTCATACAGATGATTAAGTGTATTTTTATTTAAGTCCTCAGGGTTGTCATAAATGTCATTGGAAATACAGATTGGGCACTTGTTTCCTTTATTCTACTCATGTAATATTCTAGTCTTTTCTAAGAACGACAATGAGAAAGTAGAATTTTTTGACCTAACACAATGCTGGTACATGGTAGAAGAATGTTCAATAAGTAGTGTCTCTTACTTTTCCATTTCTTTCTTTTGTTTCTTTCTGTTTTTAATAGAAGTATAGTTGACATACAGTATTATATTATTTTCAGGTGTGCAATACAGTGATTCATCAATTCTGTATATAACTCGGTGCTCATCAAGATAAAAGTACTTTTAATCCCTTTTATCTGTTTCACCCATTCTCCCCCCCATCTCCCCTGTGGCAACCACCAGTTTGTTCTGTGTTTAAGGTTCTGTTTTTTTTGGTTTGTTTCTGTTTGCCTTTGTTTGTTTGTTTTGTTTCTCAAACTCCACATATGAGGGAAATCATGTGGTATTTTTCTCTTCTTTAAGAATATATCCCTCTGTGAGTGAGAATAGGGATGTTAGGATTAACAGTTTAAGAATTTTAGGAATTTTTCATATGGCTATGTAGGGCATACTTTAGTATAGCAGTGTAAAAACAAATAGCATAACGTTAGTTCGCAATTTTATGAAATATTTCATAATTTCTGGGACTTGATTAATATTACAGAGTAAGCCCAGGCAATTTTAGGTAAAGGAACTGAATTTGGTACAAATTAATATTTTATTACACTACTCTTCAGCGGCAGTCAGAAAATTGCTTTGAAATCTTCTCCTTTGGCACACTTATTGACAGTATGTAGGCTACTTTAAATAAATATGCAGCCCATTGTGTTTCATCCTATTAGTTTTGATAGATTTTAAAATCAATTTACTAAGTCCAACGAGCATTTAAAAAAATTAAATAGACCAGAATAGAAAATATCAAGGACATTATGTTTAGAAAGAATAAGTATTTTCATGCAAAACTCTTGTGTCTCCCTGTATTTCTACTGCAGATTTGGATCCAAAAAGTTTGAAACTCTACTGTAGATGAAGCTAAAATATGTTGTT